CTAAAACTTGGAGGCCCACGGCCGGATCTCGGCCGGATCTCGGCTAGGTCTCGCACCGCCGCGTGCATGAGCGCCGTTACACCGTCGGAGTTTCGCCCGTCGACCGCAGCGCCCGCCCGCAGCAGCCGCTCGACTAGCGGCACCGAGCCGTTGGAGGCGGCCGCCATCAGCGCCGTCATGGCCGACTTGTCGTCGTGCACTGCGTCCACGTCCGCCGTGACCGCGAGCAGCGCCTCCACCGCCTCCGCCTCGCCCGCCGCCGCCGCGACGATGAGCGGCGTGATTGCGGTGGCCGTCATCAGAGTGCAGTCCGCGCCTGCCGCCAGATGTGGGGAGATATGGGGAGATGTGGGGAGATTGCGGTGGCCGTCATCAGAGTGCAGTCCGCGCCTGCCGCCAGATGTGGGGAGATATGGGGAGATATGGGGAGATTGGGGTGGCCGTCATCAGAGTGCAGTCCGCGCCTGCCGCCAGATGTGGGGAGATATGGGGAGATGTGGGGAGATTGGGGTGGCCGTCATCAGAGTGCAGTCCGCGCCTGCCGCCAGATGTGGGGAGATATGGGGAGATATGGGGAGATTGCGGTGGCCGTCATCAGAGTGCAGTCCGCGCCTGCCGCCAGATGTGGGGAGATATGGGGAGATATGGGGAGATTGGGGTGGCCGTCATCAGAGTGCAGTCCGCGCCTGCCGCCAGATGTGGGGAGATATGGGGAGATGTGGGGAGATTGCGGTGGCCGTCATCAGAGTGCAGTCCGCGCCTGCCGCCAGCAACACTCGCAACACTCCGACGGCGCCGGCCTCCGCGGCGATGTGACACGCCTACGTTGTCCAGATCTGGGGAGATATGGGGAGATGGGGGGAGATTGCACGCCTGCGTGGGTGAGTGCGGCTAGCGCGCGGTACGGCGTTTGCTCGCCTTCCCTGGGACCCCGTGTTGCGTGTCTGGCTCTCTCTGTGTCTTGCGATTTCGGCGTTGTGCTTTCGTGCGAGTACGCCAGCCTCAGGGCGGGAGTAAGGGCGTAGACGTAGACGTCTACGCCCTTAGCGGGAGTACGGTACTGTGCAGCGTCTTTAGAGCACGCGCGCGAGGACAACGGAGAGGACGACAGCGAATACGGCGGAGTGCGGCGGAGTGCAGCGGAGTGTGTGTCCTCTCGAGCGCTGGTTGGAAGACAAGAGTGCGTGTTTCGCTTCTAGGCACGAGATCTGGGGAGATATGGGGAGATATTCTGCTTCTAGGGTGGCGCGCCGCCACGCCGCGCGCGTCGACGGCGTTCGGGTCTGCGCCAGCCTCGAGCAGCTTGGAGACAATGTCAACCTGCGCGCAGACCGCCATGGTGAGCGTGGGGCTCTGCGCGGCTATACCTCGGTTATGCCTCGGCTATACCTCGGCTGTACCTCGGCTATACCTCGGCTGTACCTCGGCTATACCTCGGCTGCCTCTCGGCTGCCCCTCGGCTGCCTCTCGGCTGCCTCTCGGCTGCCTCTCGGCTGCCTCTCGGCTGCCTCTCGGCTGCCCCTCGCGCCTGCTCCGGCTGCTCCTCGCCGCCCACGCTGCCGCCCGAACCAGCCATGAGCGCGGTAAGGCCTACTCAGGCACGGAGGGGGGGGGGGGAGGGGGGGGAGGGGGGGGAGGGGGGGGAGGGGGGGGGGAAGGGGGGTCAAGACCAACTTGCCCCCAAGGGTTGCACGTGCGCCACAACAATGGAAGGGGGCGACGCCGTCGCTGCGCGCGGCGTTGGTGTCCGCCCCGCGAGAGAGCAGCGCCTATTCACAGCTGCAGGTGTGAAGAGACGCCGTTCACAACCTCAGGTCCGGCCCGCGAGAGAGCAGCGCCTTGACGAAGCAGGGCCGAGGTGCGGCCGAGGTGCGGCCGAGGTACAGCCGAGAGACAGCCGAGAGACAGCCGAGAGACAGCCGATGTGCGGCCGAGGTGCGGCCGAGGGAAACGAGGTGCGGCCGAGGGAAACGAGGCCCAGCCGAGGTTCAGCCGAGGCCCAGCCGAGGCCCAGCCGAGATGCGGCCGAGATGCCAGCCGAAAGTTCGCCTTGACAATCGGCAGCGATCCGTTCTCCGCAGACATCATCAGCGGGGTGGAGCCGTCGGGGCTCGCGGCGTTCACGTCCGCCTTGGCCTGTTCACAGCCAGAGGTGTGAACAGACGCCGTCCACAGCCTCGCGGCGTCCACGCCCTCCCCGGCCTGCAGCAGCAGCGCCACCGCCGGGCCGTTGCCCGCGCCCGCGGCGACGGCGAGGGCCGTCGACCCGCCGCTCCCAATCGCGTTGATGGCGGCGCCGGCCTCGATGAGCGCCTAAGGTACGGTAAGGTAAACGTCTCCCCACACACAAAGTGGTGGGGCAAGGGGGGGGGTGGCCCTCGCATCTCCACGCCGGGACACGGGTAGGAGCTAGCACGGCATTCAAAGTGCAAGCACCGGCCCGGTGCCGTGGGTGAGCAGACCTGCACCCCACTCCCTCCCTCCCAGACACAACCCGCACACAACCCCCACAGCGTGGTCGTCTGCGTGTTCAGAAACACCAAGCAGCGAGGCGAGGGGGAAGGGGTAAGGGGCTGTGTGGGGCAGAATCTTCATCCGGCTTATCTGTGACTACTCCCTCCGCGTTGCGGGTAAAGTGTCTGTGTGTCGCTCCAGCGAAGTGCCGTCCCCTCCCGGCATGCGTCCCCGCCTCATGCGTCCCAACCCACTACCGCGCCGGTGTGTGTCCAGCCCGAGCCCCTGGCTGCTCTTCCCCTTCCCATCTGACTCACACCTGTCCTCACGGTTCGACTGCGTTCCGCTGTACATGCTTCTGTGTCTTGTCCGACCCTCTGGCTGCTCCTCCCCAGTCGATGCTACTACTACTGTGAGCGCCTGCGCGACCTCGAAGCCGTGTGTGGAGCGCGCCGCCTCCATCAGCGGCGTCACCTGGGGTAGTGGGGGGGGTGGGGTGGGGGGGGGAGGGGGGGGGGGGGGTGGAGGGGAGGGTCCAGGCCCGGAGAGGGTGAGGGTGGCGGTGAGGGTGAGGGTGAGGGTGAGGGTGAGGGTGAGGGCGAGGGCCAGGGCGAGGGTGAGGGTGAGGGTGAGGGTGAGGGTGAGGGTGAGGGTGAGGGTGAGGCTGAGGGTGAGGGTGAGGGTGAGGGTGAGGGTGAGGGTGAGGGTGAGGGTGAGGGTGAGGGTGAGGGTGAAAGGGGCGAGGGAGGGGGGAGGGCGAGGGAGGGGCCGGGCCATCGCTTCCATCGACGACGAGGGCGGGGACAGGCTCGGCTCTCGCTGGTATTCGCGGGTGTGTCTTCAGAGACGGGCGTGCGCAAGACGGCAGATCGGGACTGGTCAATGCAAGAGGGGGCATATGCGTGCACCCTAAGTTTCTCCGAGACCTCGCGAGCGGGCAGGTATTCACAGCTGGCAGTGGGCGCTGGGCGGGGCAGGGCAGTGTGGGTTTCACACCCGGGGCAGGTAGGGGATCGGAGGGGGCAGTTGTGCGGCAGTGTGCGGGCAGTGTAGTACGGCAGGGCAGGGCAGGCCAGCTTAGGTCATAATTGCAGAGCTGAGATTTGGGATCTCAGCGGGCGCCTCCTCTGCGTCGGCAGCGTCCGGGTCCGCGCCAGCGGCGAGGAGAAGCTTGACGCCCTCGAGGTTGGAGGCGGCGGCGGCGACCATCAGAGCGGTCGAGCCTTGCGCGTCGGCCGCGGCGGCGTCCGCCCCGTGCGCGAGCAACGAGGCGAGCGGTGCGGTGTGGGAGAGGCCGGCGGCGAGCGAGAGCGCGGTCGCACCGGAGCGGTCCTGGTGGGAGGCGTTCGCGCCCGAGGTGAGGAGCATCTCGACGAGAGGGGCGGAGCCGTTGGCGACGGCGTGCATCAGCACCGACGTGCCCGCCGGCGTCGTCGCGTGCACCGACGCCCCTCCCGCCACGAGCGCCTCGGCGGCGGCGACCGAGCCGTTCCTCGCCGCGAGCATGAGTGCGGTGACGCCGCCGGCAGAGTAGTCGGAGGCGTCGGGCCGGGCCTTGTTCTGCAGGAGCAGCTTGACAATCTTTGGGAAGTCGCGCGACGCCGCGTGCATGAGCACCGACTTGCCGCGCCAGTCCATCGCGTTTGCCAGCCGGTTCGCCTCGGCCGGCTCGGACTGAGCAAAAATGGACGCCGCCGCGATGACATCGTCGGCGAGCACGGCGCTGAGCAGCTCTTTGCCGAGGCTGTTGGGGCTCTTGGCGGAGGCAGGGAGCGCAGCCGCGAGCAACGCCACCACGTGCCACCCCTGCATGTTGATGGAGAGCGATAGCTCGACCACAGCTCGGTTTAAAAAACCACATCCGCGTCCGTCCCTCGTCTACACCCTCTTTGTAATTGCCGGGAGCGGGACCCCGGAACCCGGGACCGCCGCTGCGCGCGCAGCGCGCGGTGGAAAGGGGTCCCAGGTCCCCGGGGACCCGGGACTTGGGATGGTGGGACTGGGGACCGTCTTAGACTCACTCACTCACTCACCTCCCCGATTGTGTGCGTGCCGCGTCCCGTGCACTCGAGTTCATTTTAACACGAAGATCACTTCCCCGAGCATCCGGTCCGCTGTGCGCGTCTTATTGGCTCCCCGGCCCTGGGTGTGAGGTTGCCAACTGTGTATCGCAACTGCACTCAAGGTGAGAGAGAGAAGAGAACACAACCCCCGCTCTCTTTTCTCCCAGTAAGCTATAAGTACGTACTCAAGGTTGCCGGGACGCACGTTCACCAACGAGTCCGCCTTCAAAAGCGTGCGGGCGCCGGGCGAGGCACAAACTTCAGCTCGGTCGCCGCGCATGCACGCTGCAGACAAGCGGTACAAAGACTGGCTCAGGCGAGTCGGCTCCATTGAAGCCAAGGCACACGATGACAACCTTTTTGCGCAGAGGCGAAATCGGAGTGCGCTCGGCCAGCCCGAGACCTGGATTGACGCTCAACGTCGCTTCAAGCGCAACGTTCCTGGGCACTCGGTTGCCTATGACTCGCTCCCGCTGGCGCCTGAGCTGTGCGCTCCGCCCTCGCGTCGGTGGGAGCGGCTGGGCCAGGACACCTTGCACAGCAAGTTCGTGTGCGTACACGCTCAAGGACCAGCAGGCGAGCCCAAAATCAGACGCATGCCGTCGACGCAGCAAGACCTGGATCAACGCCTTTTGTCAGGCGGGCTTCCGGTTGGCGCGCGGCGTTCCGTCCCGTGCCGCATCGTTTCGATTGGAAGCGCGAACGACTTCCAGTTCGAGGAGGACATCTTCCGCACCTTTCCGGAGTGTTTGGTTGACACCTTTGACTGTTCCGCCTCCGAGCGGACGTGGGAGGTGCGAATGACTGACTGCTAGAGATATTTGAGATGCCTGGCCATACCCGACATCTGTCCGAGATAACGCCGTAACCTGGGTCTCCACGCCTCGTGGGCGGCAGGTGCCAAAGGCGATCCGGTCGCGTGTGCGGCTGCATCAGAGATAGCCGAGAGAAAGCCGAGAGGTAGCCGAGAGAAAGCCGTGAGATAGCCGAGAGACAGCCGAGCGAAAGCCGAGAGATGGTTCCACGCGTCAAGCGACGCACGCGAGACGCTCGACCTCGGCTATTCCTCGGGCAATACCTCGGCTATGTCTAATCTCAGGTGATGCTCGACCTCTGCTCCGAGGGCGGCGAGGTGCTCGTCCACACGCTGAGCAAGCGCAAGCAGCAGAAGGCACGCCTCGCGAGACGAGCTCGAGAGAACCACGAGAGGACCCGAGAGGAGCCCGAGAGGACCCAAGATGACTCGAGATGACTCGAGATGACTCGAGATGACTCGAGATGACTCGAGATGACTCCAGGTGACTCGAGAGGACTCGAGAGGACCCCGAGATGACCCGAGAGGGCTCGAGATGACTCGAGATGACACCACGGCGACATCTCGACCTGCCGCCCGCCTACCGCCTCGGCTACATCTCGGCTATACCTCGGCTCACATCTCGGCATACCTCGGCGAATACCTCGGCGGCATCTCGGCGACATCTCGACAGGCCGCCTACCAGCTCGCGCGCAAGCTCAAGATGGGCCACGCTTGGGAGGCTCCCATCGAGAGATAGCCGAGAGGTAGCCGAGAGGTAGAGAGATCGCCGAGAGATCGCCGAGATATAGCCGAGAGATCGCTGAGATGGCCGGACTGAGAGGCGCCCAGCTCTTACCCGCGGCGACCCGAGAGGCTAGGCTCCCATCGTCGGCGGGCGAGCCGCCACCGAGGCGGGCGGCAGGTACAGCCGAGGGCGGGCGGGGCCGGAGTTATCCTCGCCGCCGGAAGGGGCGGGCTTGGGCGGCGCGTCCCCGCAAACGGAGGAGTGGGAGGAGTGGGAGGAGGAGTGGGAGGAGTATGAGTACGAGCCGGACGACGGCGGCGACCACGGCCCATAGAGCCGCGTACGTGTAGGGGTCGAAGGCCGTGCGGCGCGGCCGCTTCAGGTGGAGGTGGTTCAGACTTCAGACTCTAGTGTCTAGAACTCGCGACTGGTTATCTGTTCCAACTGTTATGCTTCGAAAAAATGGGAGCTGCTGGTGTCAAGTGTCATCTGCGCACTGCGGGGCACAAAAAAGGGCTCTCGACGATAACCACACGACTCAGGACTCTCTAACTAAGCATGCGTGACGCCGACTTCGACACGGAGCCTCGGCAGCCAGGGCAGGCCGTGTTGATCGGCTCCATCCCACGGCTCGTCTCGACCTCGTTGAGCCAAGTGTGCAGGCAGCGGTAGTGGAAGAGGCTCGTGCAGCAGCGCGTGGCGCCCCAGCCGTTCGGGTCGCGAGGCTGCAGGCGCGCCTCGGGGTGAGCGCTGAGGTCGTCCAAGCAAATGACGCACTCGAGGGCCTCCTCCTTTGCTGCTGCAGCCGCGGACACGCCCGCAACTGCGGCAGCCGCCTCCACCTCCATCTCCGACTCCTCCCCGCTGTCGCTCTCCGCCTCCGCCTCCACCTCGTCGTCGCATGGCGGGGCAGCACCCGCCTCCGCCGCCGCCTCCGCCCTCGCCTGCACTACTGCGCGCGCCTGCCGCCTCGCCGCCCTCTGCTCGCTCGCGGAAGGCGGCGGGTCGGGGAGCAGCGAGAGAGCCGTGGCGTCGGCAATGTCCGCCGGGTCGAAGCCGTCCTCCTCCTCGTAGCTGGCGCTGGAAGGCCCTGCTGCGCCTTGCGGCGGTGCTTGCTGCGGCTGCGGCTCGAGCAGGCGGACGGTCGTGTCCCACAGGTGCCGCGCACGCGCCAGCGCCGCCTCCTCGGCGGTGGCGAAGAGGCCGAGGCTGACCTGCTTGCCGCCACAATCGTTACCTTCAGCTTGTACTTCTTGCTGCCTCGCTCCTTCGGGTAGTAGACAACGCCCCTGTAGCCGCGCTGTTGCTGTTGCTACTCGTAGCCAGGGTCAGGCCCTCCCTCCCCGCCTGCCGGACTGCCTCGGCGCCAGCGGCAGAGGAAGGCACGGGTGGCGGCGGCGGCGGCGGCGGCGCGGTGAGATCGCTGGTGTCCCTGCCCGCCTCCCTGCGGGCGTAGAAGAGCGCCGCCTGCTCGGCGGTGGCGAAATAGCCGAGGAAGACTTTCTTGCCGCCATCCCACACCTGCAGCTTGTACTGCTTGCTGCCTTGCTGCTTCGGGTAGTAAACAACGCCTTTGTAGCCTGTGCTGTTGCTGCTGCTGGCGGTGAGAGTCAGGCCCTCCCTCTCCGCCTGCCGTACCGCCTCGGCGCCAGCGGCAGTGGGAGCAGCGCGAGGCTGCAGCAGCTTGGCGGCGTCGGCGCGGCCGTTCTCTGAGCGAGCGTAGGCGGTGGCAGCCTCTTCGGCGGTGTTGAAGCAACCGAGGTGGACACTCTTGCCGTCGTTCTGCGCCTGCGCCACGAACTTCTGTCTGCTGCGGTTGTAGGTCACGTTCTTGTAGCCAGTCGTGTTCCGTTTGTGGGATCAGCACGAGGCCCTCGGACGCTGTGTCCCGCCTCGCGCGAGCGGGCGCCATGCTGAAAAGAATTCTGCCGCGGGTTGCCGACTGCACTCCAAGTGCTCCAAGTGCGTCAGGAGTGTAAGGGGGGGTTTGTGCCACTGTGTGTTCCGAATTGCCTTTGTTTCATAACACTCAAAAAGAATTCTACGACCCTGTTCCACTCTGAGTTTCGTGGATTAACCGCCGCATTTGCTCCATGGTGAGCGAGTTCACGGAGTCCAGTGAGGCCAGCATCCAGGTTTTGGTCGCCGAGACCTCCGCCTCGGCGAGCCCATCACGACAAGGCCTGTCTTTGGCCGAGCGCACCGGGCTGTCGTTGGACACACCTCGAGCGTCGTTGCTGTCGGCGCTCTCCGGACTCGATGACCGGCTTACTATTGCATCTGAAACCAGCACCGAAAAGTTCAGCCATAGAGAGCCGCTCGCGGAGCTGCAGCGCCAGATCGAAGGCTGCTCTTTCGTAGTTGGCATCGCGCTCTTCAGCACGCTCGCGCACTGCAACCCCGTCTCCGCCGTCTTCGCGATCAAGTTGTGGCACTCGCCGCGCCCGCGCTCGGTCGCAGAGCACTGGGTGATTAGCGAGCGCACGCGCATCTATCTCGATTGGATCGTAGCCGTCGAAGTCATCCTCTTCATGGTGCTAGCCGCAATTTTATCAATCGGATTCGTTTACAATGACGTGAACACCACTGACTATTTAATGCTCGTCGTGTCCGTCTTGCAATTCATCGTCCTCTTTGCTGGCCTCCTCTCCCCACCCCTCGTCGGCCCTCACCAGTCGCACACACATGAGTTCATGCCAGCCTCGATGAGCACAGGCTTCCTCTCGGTCTTCTGCTCTATCCGCAAGACCGCCGCTGTCCGCAGATATGCACCGCTCGCCCTCCAGATCCACGTGGGGCCCAAGCTCCCTTTTGAAAAGGCGCGAAACCCGGGCCGAGATCCTTTGGGTCCATGAGATTGCGAGGGGATCACACCCCCACGTGCCCCTTGGGTCGGGAGCTCGCCCCTGGGATGGCACCCCCCCCCCCCCCCCCTCGTCCAACCCCCGCCCCCCCCTCCTGCTACTGCTACCACCAGCCGGGCGAGCTTGAGCCGCTGCCGGTCGTCATACGGCACGTGCTCGACAGTCTCCAGGCGACCCTCGCACCTTCCGAGATCGACCGAGATCGAGATTGACCGAGCTTTTCTCGTTCTCGCCCAGGCGACCCTCGCCCAGTCCGCCGGCGGCGAGGAGAGCCGCGAGGAGCTCCACCGCTTCGCCGTCCAGCGCCTCGTCACTGGACGGCCTGACGACTCTCATCGGGCCGGTTCCACATATCCCCTTAGCCTTTGCCGCGATGCTGTGTCATGGACCCCGACATAGGCCTGTCGACTCGGCGCTTGGGCCGCAGTTTCACGGCCTGCTGACTCCCGGTCCCGTGCATGATGGAACGTCAATGAGCGAGTCTAGGCGCTCGGCATCATGGCGTTCATGCGCGTCCCGGACGAGGCACGAGCACCACACACCCCTTGAGAGTGTGCGTGTGTGCGTGTGTGTGGTGACGCGTACGAGGACCCTCGCCTCGCGCTAGGTTGTCTACGCCGGCATGGCCGAGGGCCTCGCCGCCATCGAACGCGAGGTGGCGTCGCGAGGCAGCGACGACGACCGCGTCTGCCTCCGCTACATCCTCCACGCCCGCACCGGCGACCTCCCCCGCCGGTGGAGCAGCGGGGTAGCGGGTGCGAGAGCACACGAGGCTGCACGAGACTGCACGAGGCTGCACGAGTCGGAGTAGGTGGAGCAACGGGGTGATGGACGCGGGCAGGCCTGCCGGCATGGCGCTGCAGGACTTCGTCGACCTCCCAGACTCTGTCACTGCGGGGCTGCGGGCACCGCACGTCGCGGCGCTGCGCCTCTACACGAGCGCAGCTTGAATCAGAGAGGTCTTGATGAAACGCATCGATTAGGCACCGCACGTCGCGGCGCTGCGCCTCTACACGAGCAACTGCTTCCGCAGCCTAAACACGCCGCTGCGATCCGCCGGCGAAGGAGGAGCCCCCCCTGTTCCTTGGGCGGCGAGATCACTCGAGATCACCCGAGATCACCCGAGATTAGGCGAGGAGGAGTACCCCTTCCCCGTGACGCTCTCCTTCATCTCGGACGCCATCCGGCGCCTCCGCGCGGTCAACGCGTCGCAGCGCGGCGCCAGCGAGAGCTCCGCTCGACCTGGCGCGCGATGCTGATTAAAACGACACTGACGTTGGACCGCTGGTGGATTGACAGGTGCCAGCCAGCCGCTCGACTTGTGGCGCGGCATGGCCAACCTGGACGTGGCGGACGCCTTCCTCGCCGAGGGGGGGACAGAGTTCGCGCCTATGAGTACCACCAGCAGCCTCGAGGTCACATCTCCCCATATCTCCCTATATCTCCCACCAGTAGCCTCGAGGTCGCCGTCTCCCGTCTGAGCTACACATCTCTCCAACGCCTCTCTCTCTCCCTCCCTCTCTCTCTCTCTCTCTCTCTCTCTCTCTCTCTCTCTCTCTCTCTCTCTCTCTCTCTCTCTCTCTCTCTCTCTCTCTCTCTCTCTCTCTCTCTCTCTCTCTCTCTCTCTCACTCTCTCTCTCTCTCACTCTCCCTCTCTCTCTCTCTCTCTCTCTCTCTCTCTCTCTCTCTCTCTCTCTCTCTCTCTCTCTCTCTCTCTCTCTCTCTCTCTCTCTCTCTCTCTCTCACTCTCTCTCTCTCTCACTCTCCCTCTCTCTCTCTCTCTCTCTCTCTCTCACCCACTCTCTCTCTCGCTCTCTCTCTCTCTCTCTCTCTCTCTCTCTCTCTCTCTCTCTCTCTCTCCCTCTCCCTCTCTCTCTCTCTCTCTCTCTCTCCGAGCTCGGCTACAGCTCGATTGCTCACACCCTTTCGGCGAATGCATCCGCGACACACCCCCTCCCCCCCGAGGTTGCCATCGCCTACGCCCTTGGAGGCGGGAGCGGAGGTCTGCGGGGGCGGCGCGCGCTTCTGTTCAAGCTCCGCGCAAACTCGTTTATTGACCGCGGCGCAGACCTGAGCTACTGCTCCTGCTTTGCGGCCGAGGCGGAGGCGCATCTCTCCCCATATCTCCCCATATCTCCCCATAGCTTTGCGGCCGAGGCGGAGGCGCGCGCGTGCGTGCCACGGACGCCCCTTGTGTGCACACGCGGCACAAGACAGCACACACGCAGCACGCACAGCTCATCTCTCTACAGCAGGCTGCCGCCACCCTGCTCCACACGCGCACACAGAGCGCGCTTGCTTGGTGCGACCGAGGGGACGGGCAGGAAGGCGCAGCGTCGGTGGAGACACTCCCCGCGCTTCAGACACGAGTCGAAGACACGAGCCCATCACGCCCGCCGCTCGACGCCCTAGCTGTCGCCGTTTCGCGATGTGCAGGTATGCTACCCGCCGCTCACTTTCCTCGCTCCGTCCGGGCGGCGGGAGGCGTTCGAGCATGGCGGCGTCACCTTCGAGGTCGTCGAAGTGCTGCCCTCCTTCTCGTCGTGACTGTGGGGAGGTGCTTAAGACGGCGTTGTGGCGGATCCGACTTTGCGTTCAGGAGAGGGGTCCATACAGCATCATGTCCGGTTCACTTAGAGTTATAGACTTAAGCGGGCGCCCTCGGCGGCCCAGGCGAGCCACTCTGCTCGGATAACCTCGCGCTCGCTCTCTTTTTGCGGCGCCGACACGGTGCTCGCACGATGGCGGCCGGTCCGCCTTCCGCTGCAGACGGCGGGTTTACTGGGCTGGGTTTTTAGGCATTGTGGGGTTGGCACTCCCATCGACCCTCATGACCTCCTGCGGTCTCTGAGATGGACACCAGTGGGTGTGGGCCACAGCCAGGATACACTCGAAGGCTGGGTAAGCAGTAGATAGGTCGATACTGTCCGGCATCCGTCCCCACCCTGATTTGCGATGACACCTACTGTGCCGATGGTCCAGAGGCGGCCCCCCGCCGGCGCTCTGCGCGATGCTCGAAGGCGACGTCATTGCGCAGCGATGCTGCGGCGTTGAGAGCAACCCGTCTAAGCGGTGCATTTGGGCGCCGGACCCTCGCTCGCTCGATTCGGTGCGCCATCGGGTGGACGTCAAGGGCACGCCGGACGCCCCGCCCCACGGCTCCTACGAGGGCGGCACGCTTCCGGGCATCCGCGTCCTCGGCGCCTTCCTTGGCGGTTTTGTGTGGTGCCGCGACAAACTGGTCAAGCGGGTCCGCAAGGCCTTGGAGCCGCTTCCGGGCATCCTCGCCTTGCGCGACTCCAAGAAGGTCCGGACGGCGCAGCAGCTCTCACAGGTGCTGATCCGCTTCTGCAAGAACACAACGCTCACCTTCTTCCTCCGCACGATGCCTCCCAGCGTCACCCTGGCGGCGGCGAGGGAGCACGACAGGCTGATTGCAGACAGCCTGTACGAGCTCGTCGCCGGCGCGCGAGTCGGGCGCAAGGATGTCCGGTGGGTGCGGGCGCTCAAGCAGGCGCGTCTGCCAGTCAACATGGGCGGCATGGGCTTGACTGGCGCCGAGGACATTCGCGGCGCGGCGTGGGTTGGTACGTGGGCTCTCGTCACGCGGCCGATCCGCGAGTTACACAGGCCCTTCGCCGATCTCGACGTCTCGACCGCGCCCGGAGAGTGCTTCGACGAGCTGCGAGAGGCGCACACGCAGCTCGTCAGCAGCCACGACCTCACCGACAGGTGCCAGCGGAGCTGGCGGGCGCAGGTCGTGTGCCGGGAGGTGGTGAGCCCGGGCACTGCGACCAACGAGGCGAAGGCGGAGCCGAGGTTCCGCTTCTTTCCGCACGGGCTGACGCCGGCTGCGGAGCTGCTTCCCCTGGCCCAGTTCTCGTCCACCAACGAGTACCTGCACCAAGCGCAGCGACGGTACACCTCTGGCGTGCACCACTCTAACTGGCTCGCCCTTGCCGAAGAGCTTACCGAAGAGGCGCTTCGCAGAGGCGGCCGCAAGGCACCCTCCAAACGCAAGAAGCGCAAGAACCACAAATGCTGGCGAGAGGCGATCCGTCCAACCTGGTTTGTGGAGCTCCCGCAACTTACCCTTAGAGGCCACCATAAGGGACCCCATTGCCCGTTTGCCACCAGACTTTTTTTGAGTTGGAGGTAATAACTAAATGGATTGCACTCTCCCAAAGAACTGATGCATTCATAGTGCCTTCACATAGTTACAATACCTCAAAGTTGAAAAACTCCAAAATAGGCCGTCAGGACTCTGTCAGGACTCCGTCAGGACTCTGTCAGGACTCCGTCAGGACTCCGCCAGGACAACCACTGTCCCCCCGCTGTGAATAGAGCCCTTAGCTAGAGAGTAGGGAGGGGTGTACAGTCGAGTTACTCCCGAGGGCAGGGACGGCCCTCCACTGAGGGAAAGGGCGCACGGGGACGGTATCGACCCAGCCACGCAGCTCTTTCCTCGCGTACAGCCAACGAGTTTGCTGGTCCACAGGCAGGCCAGGCCGTGAGCGTGGGCCGGTCAGGCCTGATCCTGCGGTGAGCACTGGAGGGCTATGCGGCTCGCTCCGTCAGCCGACTTGCGCTGTCGAGCGGTCGAGCGCTTCGGGTTGGACCCGCGGGAGGGTCCCTGCGCGGCTGACATGGCCAGCCAAGCCGTGTGCGCTGCCGTGGGTGCTGCCGTGGGTGCTGCTGTGGGCGCTGCCGTGGGCGCTGCCGTGGGCGCTGCCTCGGTCAGCAGTCAGTCAGCAGTCCGCTGCTCGGCGCTGGCCTGCAGGTTGCCGGTGGCAAATCGGGGGCGCGCGGGCCATGGACGTCGTGGCCGAGCTTTGCTGCCTATGCACGTTGCCGGCTGTAACGTTGCCTGCACCATGGCCGCGCCTCTCTTGCTTGTGCGCTTTTCATGGTCGGCCGAGTGGCGCGAGACCCAGCGTGATTTCTTTTGTCTGTCAGGACTCTAAGTTTCTGTCAGGACTCTCAAGTTTCTGTCAGGACTCTCAAGTTTGCTTGTCAGGACTCTCAAGTTTGCGTCAGGACTGCCCCATCAGGACGATTCCGCAGAGGGCGCGCACGGTCGAAAGGGGGGCTGGGCGTCTATCATTCACTGCTGGGGGGGAGGGGAAGGAGGGTTGCAGTGAAGGAAGGTGGAAGTCTCTTCGGAGGCACTTGTGAGCACTGTGAAGACCGTGCGCCGTCAGGACCCCGCCAGGACTCTGTCAGGACTCTGTCAGGACTCTGTCAGGACTATGTCAGGACTCTGTCAGGACTCTGTCAGGACTGTCAGGACAGTTGCGGGAGCTCCACAAACCAGGTTGTCCGAAGTCAGCCAACCAGGGGCCGGCGCCTTCCTCAACGCCGTCCCCATGCGTGATGACATGAAGATGGAGTCCTGGGCGATGCGCGTCACCGTTCAGCGCCGCCTTGGGCTCCCCCTTGATGTCGCCTGCCAGGCGGTGGAGGCAGGCAAGAGGGCGCCCAGCGGCCAGCTACACGACGTCCTTGGCGACGCCGCGATGGTTAACCCTCGGTCGAAGCATGCTACAAGACACAAATTCCTACTCAAACGTTTGATCAAATGCCTCCGCTCGGCGTGGGGCATGATCATCGAGATGGAGCCAACTGCACACCTCAGTTACAGTAATCCAAAACAACCTGACGTGGCGGCGGCAAACATCGGCAGGGGGCACAGGCGCCTTGTTGCCGATCTGAAGCTCACGAGCTCGCTTGCGAGCAAGGGCAAGGACGCGGCCGGCGACGGAGAGCTCGGCTGGAAGGGGGCGTATGTTCGCTTCGGCAACACGGAGCCCGGGCTGCTCAATATCTGGTCAAAGGGCGCGGCAAGTGGTCTCCGTCGGGAACGACGGCAGCGGCGGTGGCGGAGGAGGAGGACGAGGAGGAGGAGGAGGGGGAGGAGGGGGAGGATGCGGATGCCCCCAAGGGAAAGCTCAAGGAGCTGGATGGCGATTACCGCTTTGCGCGGGAGCAGGATTGCGATCTGCGTTTGTTCGACTTCGAGAGCTTCGGAGGCTTTGGAAAGGAGGTTCGCAGCACCCTGAGGGAGGCGGCGAACCAGCTGAGCAACAAACTTTCGCACGCTCAGCACCTGGACGAGGTCACATGGACCACCAAGAACTGGCACGGGCTGCAGATGCAGCGCTTGTCTGTCGTCCTCCACACCGCCGTGGCGTGGCAGACGGTGAACGAGCTAGCGTGCGGGGAGAGCGGCATTGTGCATGGTGCGGAGTGCATTGCCGTTCTTAACGGAGTCGCTTAGGCGGCTCCGGTGGTGAGCCGGTGTGTGTGCCAGTCCGCGCCAGTCCGCGCCCTTGTCGTGCCAGTGTGCTGTGAGAGAGGCTTGTATTTTAAGAATTCTTTTCTAGACGGCTAGGCTTGAGAGCAGCCTCGCTCTCAATCCTAGAAGTCGAAGGATTGTGAGCAGCACTCCTCGCAATCGTAGCATGCATCTCTTTGCGATTGTGAGAGCGCCTACGTTCGCAATCCTACATCTTCTAGGATTGCGAGCGGGTCCCCTCGCAATCGGTGGGATCACTGTGAGGACCATCCCAGCGCGCTCACAAGCGCTCGCGGCTGGAGCGATTGGGAGCGCCCCCTGTGCGCATGCCAGCAGTCCTTGGATCTTTGGTACGATTGTGAGCGCAGCCGCTCATAGTCCTACATACAAGATGTAGGATCGCGAGCGCTACTGCTCGCAATCGGAGGCATGTTGCAAGGATTGTGAGCAGTGCTGCTCGCAACCCTAGACTTTGCTCGGATTGCGAGCGCGCTGGTAGTAGTCGTAGGCGTCACCAGTCACCTTGGGAGCGGAGCTGCTCTTAGTCCTAGAAGATGTAGGATTGCGAGCGTAGGCGCTCACAATCGCACAGAGATGCTACGATTGCGAGGAGTGCCGCTCACAACACCCTTCGACTTCTACGATTGAGAGCGAGGCTGCTCTCAATCCTAGCCGTCTAGAAACCACGTTCGGATCGCTCTTCATCGCAAACCCTGTCAGCAGTTCACCTTCGGGTACGTACGTAAGAGCTACATACACTTTAGGTTAGGTTAGGTAGGAAGGTGAAGAACAGCCTGGACTAATACACTGAGAAAAGAAGAGTTAACAACAAACTAAGAGAAAAGAAGGTTCACCGTTACAGGCGACCTCATCATCGGGAGCTGTGTAGAAGGGCTCGCACCTCAACCTCATAACAAGGCTGTGAAGCGCAGCCGGTAAAACTGTCTGAGCTTGTGCGTCTTGGGGCCGGGGTTGTGTGTTTTTGTGTGAAGCGCAGCCGGTAAATATCTTTGTAGCCTGGCGTTTGTGGCCCGTTTGTGCCGCGTCCCGTGCCCCCGAGTTCGGTCTATGTTTCTTGCTCCGCTGCTGCTCGCGCCGGGGCCGCTGCCCTCCTCGCCGCTCGCTCCCGGCTGGTCTGTTGCTTCGCTAGAGCTTCCGTCCGCGTCGCTTGGCGTGGCCATCGGCGTCTCCGCCACGCTCGCTGCGTTCGCGGTCCAGCGCCAACGTGAGAAGGATGCCGCGCCAGCGCGATCGTACAGCGACCTGATCAGGCGTGGCCGATCGACCAGCGCGCCAGCCTTTCGCGACGCTTCCGGCGCAGAGAGTCGGCTCTCGCCCGGCGCACGCGCCATGCTGCAGCGCGCGTACGACAATATCGAGAGCGAGCGCGAGGAGGCGTTGCGAGTCGGCGACACGGAGGGCGCGGCCGAGTTGACGCGTGTGCTGCTGCAGCTGAAGCCGCTGCCGGAGGGCGTGAAGCTCGATGTGGAGGAGTCGCTCTCTGACTACCGCCGCTGGCTCGACCCAAACTCGCTCCGTGAGGGCCCGCTGGGGCCTGGCAGGTAGCCGCGGGGCGACGGCCGAGATGCGGAGGGACCTGTCGTACATTGTGCGAGATTCTCGCGCGGTGTCTGAGCTCTGCTGGTCTTGCGGACTCTTTGTTACACGTAGCTTCTCTGTGGACTGTGAATCAGCCTGTGTTTGAGAGTTTTGAGGAAATCCGGGGACGCGACCACACTTTTGTTGCACACGTGAGACGTGTGAGAAATAAATAAATAAATAAAAACGGACACCTCTCTACTGTGAGATGGGTAAAAAGGAACAGGCCCCCGCCCTTGCGATCTTTGTGCAGGGTTCTTTGTGGGTGTGGTCGCAGGTCGGCGACTAGCCGGGGTCGTCCTCCCGATGGGGGACTAGCACTATAGCCGTCTTCCACATGGTCCCTCGGGTCCCTGCTGCTCCTAATCTCTTCGTACATCCTCCTGCTGATCTCCGCAACGTCCTGCTCCCTCCCTCGTAACCTGGTTTGTGGACCTCCCGCACCTGTCCTGACAGTCCTGACAGAGTCCTGACAGAGTCCTGACAGAGTCCTGACAGAGTCCTGACAGAGTCCTGGCGGGGTCCTGACGGCGCACGGTCTTCACAGTGCTCACAAGTGCCTCCGACGAGACCTCCACCTTCCTTCACTGCAACCCTCCTTCCCCTCCCCCCCAGCAGTGAATGATAGACGCCCAGCCCCCCTTTCGACCGTGCGCGCCCTCTGCGGAATCGTCCTGATAGGGCAGTCCTGACGCAAACTTGAGAGTCCTGACAAGCAAACTTGAGAGTCCTGACAGAAACTTGAGAGTCCTGACAGAAACTTAGAGTCCGGACAGACAAAAGAAATCACGCTGACTCTCGCGCCACTCGGCTCGACCATGAAAGCGCACAAGCAAGAGAGGCGCGGCCATGGTGCAGGCAACGTTACAGCCGGCAACGTGCAAGAAGGCAGCAAAGCTCGGCCACGACGTCCATGGCCCGCGCCCCCCCGATTTGCCACCGGCGGCCTGCAGGCCAGCGCCGAGCAGCGGACCGACTGCTGACCGACTGCTGACCGACTGCTGACCGAGGCAGCGCCCACGGCAGCGCCCACAGCAGCGCCCACGGCAGCACCCACGGCAGCACCCACGACAGCGCCCACGGCAGCGCACACGGCTTGGCTGGCCATGTCAGCCGCGCAGGGACCCTCCCGCGGGTCCAACCCGAAGCGCTCGACCGCTCGACGGCGCAAGTCGGCTGACGGAGCGAGCCGCATAGCCCTCCAGTGCTCACCGCAGGATCAGGCCCGACCGGCCCACGCTCACGGCCTGGCCTGCCTGTGGACCAGCAAACTCGTTGGCTGTACGCGAGCAAAGAGCTGCGTGGCTGGGTTGTGAGCATACCGTCCCCGTTGCGCCCTTTCCCTCAGTGGAGGGCCGTCCCTGCCCTCGGGAGTAACTCGACTGTACACCCCTCCCTACTCTCTAGCTAAGGGCTCTGTTCACAGCGGGGGGGCAGTGGTTGTCCTGGCGGAGTCCTGGCGGAGTCCTGACAGAGTCCTGACAGAGTCCTGACAGAGTCCTGACGGAGTCCTGACAGAGTCCTGACGGCCTATTTTGGAGGTTTTCAACTTTGAGGTATTGTTACTATGTGAGGGTGAAATGAATGAGTCAGTTCTTTGGGACAGTGCAATCCTTTTAATTATTACCTCCAACTCAAAAAAAGTCTGATGTCAAACGGACAACGGGGTCCCTTATGGTGGCCTGTAAGGGTAAGGTGCGGGAGGTCCACAAACCAGGTTTCAGTCTCGCCCTGCGCGTCTGCTCCGCCTCACCGTCTTTTGCCCTGCGTCGTCTGGCGACGGGTCCTCCATAGTCGGTCGAGGTCGCCGCCCTCCTCGTGCCTCTTCCCAACGTTCCCTCGGCGGCCGATGCCGTCTGCTCCGGCTCCCCAGTCCCCGGCTCTGCCCACAGACGTGTGAGAGTGAGTATTCTTGATACGAATTTTATGTATTGACAAAAGTCCTGATACGAAATCCCACGACGACACACAATCGACTTCGCAAGATCGGTTGCCTCCATAATGAACGCGAACGGCGGAGCGTCCACACCTCTGGCTAGCTCTGGCTCCAACGTGGACACGTCCCCATACATAGCTGGGGGGACACTACAGTTGTACTACGTCAGTAGGTCACGCATGGCATCAGAAGGTTTATCTCTGGGCCTAAGTTCCGTCGCCCAACGCTGCTTTTGCAGCACCATGTCGATGGCGCTAAGAGGTCCCCCCCCCCCCCCCCCCGGCGCGCCCGCCCGCCTTGCTAGCCCCCGCAACGAGTCTAGCCGCTATGAGTCGAGCTCGTCGGAGGACGGCAGCGACGGCTCCGACTTGTCCGCAGCCGAAACGGTCATTCAGTCGGCGATCCTTCTGGCCCTCAGGCCGCAGCGCCGAGTCGCCCTTGAGGCGATCGAGGTGCTCTGGACGGAGGAGGGTTCCATCGTCGTCTGCGTCAAGCTCGACATGCCGTATGCGCTCAAGCTGATGGACCTGTACTTGCGCGGTGACTCGAGCCTGAATGAAGGGCGAGCTGCGCGTTCTCGGAGTGAGCTTGGTGACGCAGCAGCCACCAGCGGCCGCCGTGTCGCTCGCGCAGGCGCCGTTGCCGCCCCCTTTGGTTGGCCAGCAACACGGAGCTTCCGTGGCCCCCCGCAAGGAGGGTCGGCGACCCGCGACCATGCCGCTTCCCCCCGCGCGCCCCAGCACTTGGAGCACTTGGAGTGCAGTTAGCAGCCTCACATCCAGGGCCGGGGAGCTGACAAGCGCACCCAGCCAGCTCTTCACACCCGAACCTGGATTTCTGGCGCGACCGGGCCTCTCATCAACCCGCTCCCACGCTTCTTGCCTGGCGGCCCTCGAGTCCAAAGGCGGGCCGAATGGCGCCGAAAAAGGCGGCCGAGACGGTCAACCGCGGCGACGTGCTCGTCGACATCCAGGCTCAGCTCGCTCGCGTCGCGGAGCACGCCGAGAAGGGCAAAAAGGCGGCCGGCCTGCTCCCTCTCGCCCCGCCACATGCGCCACGCCTTCGCCGCCACGCCCTGCCGTGCGCTGCGATCTGCCGAGGCGCGACGGCGGGACTGACCCGCGAGCCGCCTCCTTGCCTGTCGCCAGGTGGCGGCGGTGAAGGCGTACTCGGAGCTGGCGCTGCTCCTTTCGGCGCCGGCGGCGCCCGCGATCCTCCGCGCGGACGCGCTGGGCGGGCCGCGCGGCGGCGGAGGCGGGCGGTGGCGGCGCATCTTTTCGGTCAGCGTCGAGTACCTCGAAAACACTGCGCCGCAGCCCAAGGATGTCGAGCGCGCTGAGGCGATGCTGCGCGCAGCGGCGGCGGCGGGTGCGGACTTGGCCGGGGACGGTTCCCTCGACATGCTGACGAGGCACGCGCTGAACGCGCTCTGCAGCGGACAGCACGCTGCGGTCGTCGACACGGGCTTCCGCAAGGGCTCCTCACCGCACGCCGCCTATGCCTCCCTGCTCCGCTCGCTGGGCGCGGAGCCGTGGCGCGCACTGGCGCGGCTCAGTGCTGTGAACCGGGCGCGGCTGCTCGAGAGCATCTTCGACTGGATCTGCGGGCCGTCGCTGCAGGGCCCTCACCCTTCGGTGGCGGCCTCGCGCGGCCTGATGAAGACATACGCAGGCGGGCTGCCTACAGTCCGCCAGCCAGTCACACACCCAAGCGTACGCAGGCGGGCTGCCTACAGTCCGCCAGGCAGGCACACACCCAAGCGTACGCAGGCGGGCTGCCTACAGTCCGCCAGCCAGTCACACACCCAAGCGTACGCAGGCGGGCTGCCTACAGTCCGCCAGCCAGTCACACACCCAAGCGTACGCAGGCGGGCTGCCTACAGTCCGCCAGCCAGTCACACACCCAAGCGTACGCAGGCGGGCTGCCTACAGTCCGCCAGCCAGTCACACACCCAAGCGTACGCAGGCGGGCTGCCTACAGTCCGCCAGCCAGTCACACACCCAAGCGTACGCAGGCGGGCTGCCTACAGTCCGCCAGCCAGTCACACACCCAAGCGTACGCAGGCGGGCTGCCTACAGTCCGCCAGCCAGTCACACACCCAAGCACACAGAGTCCGTCCTCCCAGCGCAGAGGCAATCGGTCCGTCAGCCTGACACACCTCCTAGCATGGAGTCAGCCCTCCTAGCACGGAGGACAGGCCCGCGCGCACACCTCCGACGTTCAGCTTCGCACGCAGGCCTGCTCGCCATGCTCCTCGACGGGCGGACCGCAGACATGCCGGTCGAGGCGTGCTGTCCAGGACACGTCCGGGACACGTCCGGGACATGTCCATTGTAGGTGGGCCGCAGACATGCCGGTCGAGGCGTGCTGTCCAGGACACGTCCGGGACACGTCCGGGACATGTCCATTGTAGGTGGACCGCAGACATGCCGGTCGAGGTCACCGACGCGGACGGCGCCGCCGCCGACAGCGCCGCCGCTCGAGGAGGGGCTAAGCATGAGTCGTCCTCACTGGACTGCCCAGGCGACGCCGCCGACGGCCCGCTGTCGCAGCTGCTCAAGTTCTTCTCTCACGTGAGCGGCGCCGCGCCCGGCGGCGGGTCGGCGGCGGCGGCGGCGTCGGCGGCGTCGTCGGCGGCGCAAGGCGGAGCGGCGACGTCGCTACTCGGCGCGCCGTGAAGCTCGCTCCAGAACGAATGGTTCAGCACTCCGCACCGAGTAGTGTCGCTGGCGCTGTTAATGCTCGGCACTCAGTCGAGTCTTGGAGTGCCTCTGGTGCTGTCAACGTTCTGCACTCGACACCGAGCAATCGCGAGCGGCCAGGTATCTCCCCGAATCTCCCCACATCTCCCCACATCTCCCCACATCTCCCCCTAGGCGCGCTGTGGAGCTCGCTCAACGGCGCGCGCTCCTCGCACGGGGCTGGTCAACCAGTTCTTCACTACATTTGGACTACATTTGGTGGAGTGATTACTCAGGAGCGCTTCTCTCGCACGGGCTGAACGCTGTCGCGGAGGTCGCCCAGATGCAGCCGAGATGCAGCCGAGATGCAGCCGAGATGCAGCACAGATGCCGCACAGATGCTGCACAGATGCCGCACAGATGCCGCAAAGCTCCCGCCGAGATGCATCTTGGAACGGGAACTCGTGTGCAGCCCAGGTGCGGGCGACTGAGACGGAGTCTTGGAACAGGTTGCGGCGTTTGGGCTGCAGCCTCGCCTCCAGTCGCAGG